TCATCGTGTTTACTTTTATTAAAATATTTCTATTTATAATGACTAGATTGCAAATTTTTATAGGAAATTTGAAAATTCAAGATTCTATAAAATAGATAAAATATGGCTAAAGAAATTTTCGTTCAATTTTATACTTAAAAATATGAATTCGTATAAACATCCACTGTTTACTAATACGTAAAACGTCTAATTTTTATACAAGAAAATGAAAAAAAGTTCGATCGAAGATGCATAAGAGTAATAAAAGCATAGCAGATTTTAAACTCTATTGTGCAACCTGCGCAAGTGCAAGAAGTAGTTTTGCGATTGGATATGAACACATCGAAGATAGAGATGGTTGTTAAAAAACGACGTCACGGTAACTGGTGAGAAAAAGATGGAGTACATCGTATTGCGCAGAAGAAAGAGAGGAAGAGAGATAGGGACCACCGCCAGTATGATTGCTCGATCACTTGTTCTCAGTCTCAGTAGTAAAGCAAAGTTCGGTGAGAGGAGCGGTTTTCTCAGTACATTTGGAGCGAAACACAAACTAGAGACAGAAATTTTTGTTTTATCACCGTATACCGTATCGTTGTGAATAAAATTTTGGTGCTACCCTGCGGAGGATGGCATCCACGAAGGACGACGGCACCGACAGCGTGCAGTTTTTCGAAGGTGTAGAAAAACTCCTCGAGATTTGGTTCACGAGCAGCAGCAGCATAAACAGAAAGCAGGGCGATCTCAGGCAGATTCCTCAGTAAGTCGAAACATGCTATATCCCTCCTGGCTTTCATCAACTGTATTTCCTAATCACGTCTCAATATAACGAGGCTTCTCGCGAAAATTTATGTAAAATTCATTGCGACTCATCTCGATCCATTTAACACCCAACCTTTACTAATCAATTTATCAAGAAATATGCCGATTTTCAATCGAATTTAACTCTGAGTTCGTTTACCAAAGCGTAACGCAACCCGATACATCGTAAACATTAAAAATCGATCGTTGACACATTGTTTAATTGAAATAAACGATAAGATAAAATAAAACCGGCCCGGCAACCATGACCGTATCGCATCGCCGGTAACTGTGCGATATAAGTAACAGTTTGGCTTTAAGCAGTGCTGTTCTAAGATGATAATCGTTAACACTTAACCTAACCCTTTGTCGAGAATTAAATTATATTTCTTTCACGTGTGTTTTCAAAATAAATAGTAAAGAACTTGATTCGATCATCAAACAATGATCGTTAATTTACTCGCATCGCTTCATCGGAATCCATGTTTGAAAAAGAAGCAATAATTTCAAATGATTTTTTGAATAACATTGGGATTGCGTAGCGGCGTGTATACCTTGCGTTTTTTTGGCGAAGATCGATGCGCCCACCTTCTTGTTCCAGTAATATGTACATACCGACCGCTGAAAGCGAGCTACGACGTGACTAGAATGATATACATAAGTATATTATACCTATATATCGTCTTATCTCCTCTGTTATTTTAAATTCAATATAAATAGATGTTAAAGTACGACGTGATCCTTCCTCTTTTTCTAAGAATCTATTAACTCTCGAATCACACGTGAAAAAAGTTGGAAATCTTTATTATTACACCAATCGTGTACGTAACGGCAAGTAATTAATTGTTCTGTTCCTAGCTATTTCTGAAAAGGCCGTTTTATTTTATTTTTATTAAAATGAATCACGAAAAAAATTATTTTTGCATTACGTTAGTATGGGAACTTTTATGAACATTAAAGTAAAGTGTTATGAATAATGTCTTTCTTAATGTTTCTTAATTAGTAATGTTTTTTACATGTTTAATATATTAAGTTAATTACTCCATGACATTAGAGAAATATTACAATATTTATAACGTAAATTTAGTTTCTAATGTATGTAAATTAAACCTGGGTCATGAAGAATGGACGATGCTCAAAAAATTGTCTTCGATTTGCCATATTTTATTCAATTATGTATGATAATATTTGTAGTCTCAAATGTTTTTATGTGTCATCGATTTATCTAGATAGTACTTTCGAGAAGCAACTCCCAAATATTTTTACGTTAGTATTGTTTCCCAGTAATTGATAATAAGGAATAACGAATTTTGTTATCTCATTTTTTATACAATTGTATTTGTCTGTTAGTTAACACACAAAGGATGATATGAAAACTTTTAAAAAGTATTTTAACACGTTCGTGCGACCAAATAGTATTACATCATTAACAAATCTTTCACAGTGCGTACGTACATGCGTAAGTGCGTGGATAATCGTTATCTCTTTATTAAAAATTGCTATTATATAAAGTTACAAAAGTTGTATTCAGTTATTCGTCATTATACATGCTTAAATTAATGTATATTCATAACTACTTTTCGTGTATTCATAATTTAAAAGACGATAGAACTTGTTTTGACAAACTATGCACGGAATTTTCGTCGTTCGTGAAGAACCTTCACATTATTATTTTTCTGAGATGGAATTTTCCATGAAATTATGAATATGTAAATGAAAATTGTTACCACATTGATCCAGTGAATGTTTCAAAATGATCAGTTGTTACTGCATATAAAAAAAATATTTCTTCTGAAGAACGACTTTATGGTTGAAGAAAAAATATGCACATATTTAATGTAGTATTCTTGAAGAATAAAATAAAATGGAAATAATACACTTTCCTAAATAAACCTAATTGTTATCTTTCTACATTTATTCAAATTGCTGAAAGTACTATGCATAGACACATATATTAAATTATTTCACGTACACAATAAACATGTCTATGCATCACAGTACCAAAAGCAGTTTAAGTTCAAGTATATTTTAAGATATTATATAATAGATTTCATATTTTAAATCGTTAATAAATTCTTTATATACAAACAATTTTTATGATCCTTTTGATTTTTTCCTATTACCAAAAATTACTTTCGAACGATTGCCGTGTTTATTAATATCCACGTCAATATTCGACACGCTTTAGTGGTTTCACATGTACTTTGTCAAATACCAGAGACTTTGTTATATATTTATCTCGTGTGTTGTGTGTACTAAGAATACTAGGTTCTAGAACTAACTAGAAATTTTTATAATTAAAGAAAGCAAACGTGTTGCGTTTTGCGAAAATGATGTATTTCTCTTATCGTATTCTGTTTTATTATTCATTATTATGAGTTAAATTGAAAGCATATGTCAACACGATTTATAATGAACGAATTACAATTTCATTAGGTGTTGTAACATTATTGATTAATATGATAATTGATTTCGTACAGTAAAATTTGGAATATAATTGTTGCGAAATGTAATGAAGGGAATGGTTAAGTGAAATAAGTAAATTAGGTGAAAAGTACGTAATATAGTGCCATTTCAATGTCCAATTGCTAATAGAGAAAAGCAAAGTCGAATACTGTTTCATTTTTGTTTAATAAGTTTCGATCAGATTAAATATAGAATTCACTAGCTACGATTCAGTCTCTGTATTAATGAATTATTAATTTTTCAGTTCACATCTGTCGTTTTTTATGATATTTCATATGTACCAATCTAACGATTTGAAAAGACACAGTAGCTAAAGTTAACAGCCTCTAAATTGTAATACTGACTCTCCGTCTATAATTCCCATAATGGATAAATTATATATAGAATCCAGTCTTTGTGTTAATATATAAATTTTAATAATCATGTGAGAGATTCTATGTGTGAATATGTAATTGTAAACGATTTTGCATTATAATTGTTTCCAGGCGAATGATATGAGAACAAAATATAAAAAAGATAAAAATTGAGAGATAGGAGAAACTACTTTATCGTCTCTCTACACGTGCTGAACACGTGGTTCTTATAGTATTTATCAACTGTATGTCTATCGTACAAAATGTAGCGGTAATTTGAATATAATTGGTGATATTAAGAAAAAGAAGTGTGATTCATGAACAGTAGACTTCGAACGTGGATAATCTTGTAAAATATTGTTCTAACAATTAAAAAGAACTTTGAATGTCTTTTATTTCTCTCAAGTATTATGATATGCATTAACTTTTGATGCTACTTGTACACACGCTACTTATACGTATACTTATATACACTTTTATATACAATTTTCTTAGAAATGCATAAAGTACGCAATTTAATGAACATTTCAAGTAAATTGTATATCAGAGATATAATTTCCTCTTCTTGATATTTTCCTTAACATTAATTCATTGAAGACGTGCTATCAAGATATGTCAAAACGCGTTCGTTGGCTCATTTATCTGCATTTTTTTTTATTAATTTCACTAACTTGCAAAGCTCGGTTTCCTTATAAGATCATGTTTTTCATATTTTTAGATTCACATTAGTACGATAACGTACGATAGCATGCTTTTTTATACGTTCATACGCTTAATCATAATCGTATGCACATTGCGTGCAACTTATGTATCAATATATATATCTATAGTAATTACATTACACGAATTTTATTTATAACATTTTTAATTGAAATAAAAATTAATAATCATTAAACTAAATATACACGTGACACAATATTCAGCTTGAGGGTAAATAATTCGGTAGGATATTAAGAGAAATCATATAAAATTTATTTGCACTTTGTAGAATTAAAAATCTTACAAACATATCCTGCATACCTCCATAGACTTTACAAAAATTTTACATAAACTTTGAATAATTTTTTGCTACAGATGGAAATGGCAATCCTTACTAAAAATCGTTCGTTGCGAGATCATCAGTATTTGTCGCACTGAACATGTGGATGCTTATGTTCTCAGGTAACAACTTATTTAATGTTACATTCACGTCATTGCACACATTACGATATATTTAATTGCACATTTTGCTCTAAATTAGAACTAAATAATGAGTGAGTACGCTACACTGGGCACGCAAATACGTACTCCGGAAATCTACTTCTTTGTACAATTTTGTTCATTCTTATAACTTGTGTCGAGGTCCAATGGTTAAAACAGGGTAGAAATAGGAATACTAGGGATAGGATGAATAAGCAAGGACAGAGGTTAAAATGAGCAAAAATGTTTTTATTTAGACAGATTTATGGTATTTGTCGCTGAGTTAACTATATCAATAATGATAAGTCTGTTCGGCATTCAACAGTACTTTGTAAGGTCAGTACTTTATTTGTTGAAAACTGCGAAAACCAGAAAAAGGAGTACGATATGATTCGGTCGACGGTCGACTAAAAAGTGCCTCCTCAATTATCCTTTGGTCCTTTTTCCCAATGCGTTCTAGGCAACGCTTTTCCTAACAGACCGGACCCTCTGCATTGTTATCTGGCCTTTCTCTGAACATTCGAGTCCTAACGTATAAACATCTGGTTTCCATCATCTTGCGCCTTCGTTGCCTACGTGCTATTTACTCTTACAACTTCTTACTGATTTATCCTGTATGTAGTTAAATAATCGACTATTGTTAATATTTATACTAATAGCTGTATTAAATCGTTATTGAATATATCGAATAGCAACAAAGCTGTAAGATAAATAAAATGCAAGAGAATAAAGGGAAGCAAAATGATGGTGAAGTTTATCGTAAAATATATCTCGCAAGCAATGCAATATAGATACGGGCTTTCAGATACTTCCGTTCAGTCAACTGGCTCGAGATAGTAATGTCTTGGAACGCATGATCTTTACTTTAACTCATTTTATAATCAGTATACTTCTTACAGACATGTGACTTTCGTACTTCAATTATATTAGAAAATTAGACATACTTGTTCACGTTCTTCTACAAAAATAATAAATCTAATATAAAATGAACTAATATGAAAATATGTGCTATAATATATACTAAAAATTCTTTCTACACCGTCCAGTGTGCCCTTTATTTTTCTTTTTGTACGCTTCATCATCGATTGTATATTTTCTCAAGTGACTTGACTATGCATAGAATTTCATAAACACACACGTTATTCACAAAACCATTCTCTGTTATCATTCATTGTACATATTCATTCAATGTGTACTTAACGAGATAACAGTACTTAATATGAGATAAGATGAAAATCTTTAATAGACTCTCACAATACTATTGTAAGTTTAATTTATTCATGAATTGTAAAGACGATAAGTTTAGAGTATTATCTCGTTGCACACGTGAGATTAAGTTATTTGCTGATTGGAATGTACGCAAAGATTATATATGTATGTTTTACTTTGTAATTCTTCGTTATCGTAAGTTTAGAGTATTATCTTGTTGCACACGTGAGATTAAGTTATTAGCTGACTGGAATGTACGCAAAGATTATATATGTATGATTTACTTTGTAATTCTTCGTTATCGTAATGTATGTTCTTAGAACGTATTAGTCGTCGATTGTCCTGTTATTGTTAGGACTAATTGCTTCTAGCATACAGTCGATACTTATGTCCTTCTGATTATTTGTCTAGGTATTTGTATAAGTATTTTTAAAAATAAGTAACTGAATAATATTAAATCTTGAAATATAAAGTAAATATAAGTAAGATCTAGTACATGTACGTTCAAAACATTTTGAAGAAATTATAAAATTCCCGCTGCCTGGATTATCATGCTAAAAGCTAGTTAAATAACAAATTACTTGCAAACCGAAAATAGAATGAATATGTACCATTACATAATTCCGTATGGTTAGTAACACTTGGCTCAGTCAATACCTGTCCCTATTGTTTGGGAAATTACAATTTAGCTTTTGCCCAAATCAAAATCTCAAACGAGATGAAAGTTTTCTCTCCGTTTTTGCATTCAGACTACTTTTCTATCGTGATAGATTGCTTCAAATTAAACGTTTTGTTTCTCCAATTTAATCTTCACCGTTATAAGAAAATTAAACATGTAAAAAATATAAAGAATGAATCCAATGTATAAAAATATATGAAACATCAAACGCTGCATGCATATCGCAATTTTCTATACATTTCATAAATTGATATAAATGGTTTATTTTGCATTAAAAACCAAAACTATTGTTTGAGCTATTGAAAGAAGTCGTTTATGCCTTTAGAATACTGCAGTTTGTATCATAAGATATCCTCAAGTATTTTCTTATTATTTACCTAAGGCTGTTTGATATATACTTTATCGATATCTTGGCTTAAATCAATCTTGACACACTCTGCTACCATCTATAAACCATCGATGACAGACAAACAAAGCACAAATTCTCTACGCGAAGAAATACACGGCACTAGCATATAGAATATCATGTACAGACTCTTCTTCAACTTGTTTGTTTCATTGAGAAGCTCAATAACTTTTTTATTAACCCTTAGATGTAATATAGATCCTCTTCTGCCTCATATAATTTACATCAAACTCATTTTTCCTATACTGTACGTTGTGCACATTAAGGATGTATTGGCTATACAGTCAATCCCAAAAGTTTATGCACTTTAGAAACGCATTTTTTAAAACGAAATCAGACGTCGGAAGATCATTGCTAATAATAAACAACAACAAAAATTTTCGATTTTTCCGAGATTTTCCAAGGGGTCCCCCTTCAATTCCTTCCAAATGTTCGTTTTTGGCCAATAACTCCCAAACCGTTGGACTTACGAGAAAATTGTATTGGATTTTTCTTGTAGAGGACGACGAGATCTACAATTTCTGTATAAAAACTTTTCGCTAGCGTCAATAGTTAACGAGTAATTTACAAAAAACTGTTTTCTCGTTTTTCGTTAATAACTCGTTAAATATTGATGCTAGCGAAGAATTTTTATATGGAAATTGTAGATCTTGTCGTCCTCTACACGAAAGATCTTATGCAATTTTCTCGTAGATTCAACGGTTTAGGAGTAATTAAGGAAAAATGAAATTTTTTGCCAAAAGTCCGCCGTTTCGACGCTGGGATGGTCGGATTTTGTCAACATCAATAAAATGCCAAGTAATCATACGTAACTCGTTAAATATCGAAGTTAGAAGGAAAACAACTTTTATTTCAAGCATTTTTCGAAACTTGGAAAAAAAAACTTTCGTCAGCGTCAATACTTAATTGGATATTTCCTTCTATACTTTTTAGCACGTAGCTATTTATTATTAGCATTATTTTTCCGATGTCTGATTACTTTTTAATTATAGGAAATGCGTTTTTCTAAGGTACATAAACTTTTGGGATTAAGTGTATAGCCAATACATCCTTAAGCCTTGCCCATTGTTCCTTATCCCTCTGTTTGATTTTTCTTGTTTCTCTAGTATGCTTCCTGACCCAATACCATCTTTTTCTCCATACATTGTAGACAATGAAATTGATTGTATGACTTGTCACACTTTTGTCAATAACTTTTTTTAATGTCCAATATCATTATTATTATTTACTGTAAATGTATAGTTTAAACGTTCATTACTAAACAGTAAAGGAATATTATAACAATATATTAACAAGTCTATTATATTTCCACTCAATTCGAGAAACATCATTTTGAGAAAAGTTTCAAAGACATTTCAAATTTCACGTAACATTTTTCAATAAAAAAAGATGTGTGAACAAACTTAAAGCTACGTAGAATAAAAGCCTTTTACAAATTTTGGATTTCCTATATTCCCATAAAAAATTGTCATAAATATTTTTCCATGTACCATATTGGGTTCTGTTAAAAATAAAAAGAGTTCTTATATAAAATGAAGTAACAATTTCCCATAGTATGTACGTCTTATGATTATTGATTTATTTCATTGAGCACTTCACCAAGGCATGCACTGAACGATCCTAATACCATCTAAAACTAAAAATAATTTTACCAAGTGGAAGCCAAGTAAATGTCTTTTAATAACCTTCATTCTTTGATAACCTTCGAATTATTATTTGTACTGAAACTATTTTACGAAATGAGTAAAAAATTCCAATTGTTCTAGCATGATACACGAGATTATTTTTGCCTCAGTTTATTACTATACATTATTAGCTGTAGCATGCGTGCTTAAACATTCGTTTATTTCATTTCCTTATTTTTAATATTACCCTTGACTTTAAGAACATGCGAGTTTTGGCAATGATGAATAATAAATATACAAGTTTGAAGCTACACGTGGATTGTGTCGTCATCATGGCTGAAATATTGATCAACGATGATGTCATACAGAAGGACATAATAATAATATGAGCATTTCAATTTCATAGCTAAATGCCAGATATTATTATACAGTACAGTTGGGCGTGTATATTTTAATTAAATAACAAATAAGAGTAGTATGTAAATCATGACCAATGCAAAATTGTTTTTCATTGGGTTCGAATTTATTCCCATAAAATCTCATTAGTCATTTTGAAACAATTTTGTTATACTATGATGTCCAATTTTGGCATGACAATCATCCACTAATTATGCGAATATAGGTGCTTGTCATGTTATAATTAGACTACGGATTCAATGCATATATAAAAAAATTATACCTACATGTGTATATAAATCCATTACTTCAGCCTTATGGCCCAGAAATAGACTTTATTCACATGTTCCTCCATCTAAACACCTTATTATCACTATTGGACTCTGTACAAACGTAAACAATTATCTATAAATTCTTCTTTATAAAGGATGTAATTTTTACTTGCATATAATATTGAGAGACATAGAGAAAGCATAGCGCATATTATTATTTTTTAAGGATAAAAGAAATTCATATCTAGATTTAATTTCTGACATTGCTATATCAAATATTTTACATAAATATTCTCAGTCTAATTATATTCAATCGACGTCTTTTAAAATTCATTTATTTTGGATTGATACACTCTGCCATTGATCTGTTATCGTAATAAATTAATTAAACAACTTAATATTGAATTACATAAATAATAATGTTACATACAAATAAAAATGTAACAGAATAAAATAATGCATTATGTTATGTTACCTTTCAGTGAAAGCAGCATGTTCCTATCAAAGCGTAGACTTATTCTAAAGACATGTGGACCAAGGCATGCACTGAACGATCCTAATACCATCTAAAACTAAAAATAATTTTACCAAGTGGAAGCCAAGTAAATGTCTTTTAATAACCTTCATTCTTTGATAACCTTCGAATTATTATTTGTACTGAAACTATTTTACGAAATGAGTAAAAAATTCCAATTGTTCTAGCATGATACACGAGATTATTTTTGCCTCAGTTTATTACTATACATTATTAGCTGTAGCATGCGTGCTTAAACATTCGTTTATTTCATTTCCTTATTTTTAATATTACCCTTGACTTTAAGAACATGCGAGTTTTGGCAATGATGAATAATAAATATACAAGTTTGAAGCTACACGTGGATTGTGTCGTCATCATGGCTGAAATATTGATCAACGATGATGTCATACAGAAGGACATAATAATAATATGAGCATTTCAATTTCATAGCTAAATGCCAGATATTATTATACAGTACAGTTGGGCGTGTATATTTTAATTAAATAACAAATAAGAGTAGTATGTAAATCATGACCAATGCAAAATTGTTTTTCATTGGGTTCGAATTTATTCCCATAAAATCTCATTAGTCATTTTGAAACAATTTTGTTATACTATGATGTCCAATTTTGGCATGACAATCATCCACTAATTATGCGAATATAGGTGCTTGTCATGTTATAATTAGACTACGGATTCAATGCATATATAAAAAAATTATACCTACATGTGTATATAAATCCATTACTTCAGCCTTATGGCCCAGAAATAGACTTTATTCACATGTTCCTCCATCTAAACACCTTATTATCACTATTGGACTCTGTACAAACGTAAACAATTATCTATAAATTCTTCTTTATAAAGGATGTAATTTTTACTTGCATATAATATTGAGAGACATAGAGAAAGCATAGCGCATATTATTATTTTTTAAGGATAAAAGAAATTCATATCTAGATTTAATTTCTGACATTGCTATATCAAATATTTTACATAAATATTCTCAGTCTAATTATATTCAATCGACGTCTTTTAAAATTCATTTATTTTGGATTGATACACTCTGCCATTGATCTGTTATCGTAATAAATTAATTAAACAACTTAATATTGAATTACATAAATAATAATGTTACATACAAATAAAAATGTAACAGAATAAAATAATGCATTATGTTATGTTACCTTTCAGTGAAAGCAGCATGTTCCTATCAAAGCGTAGACTTATTCTAAAGACATGTGGCACAACTACCCCCCTTCAATGCTTGGAACCTCTTTTGGAACTTGTTAAAGAGCATACTGGCTTTGAAGAAGTAGAGGTAAAAGACTCTTTCATATTTTTATTATTTATGCATGCATAATGTACTTGGACTCAGTTTTGTTGGTAATTATACAATCATCAGTTTATAAATAACAATGAATGATATTTGACACAAATTACTTTGTTTTTATTATTTTGTAAATGCAGTAATACTCGTAGATTCGGAATCACACGAGTTAATGCGATTAATAATAGTTGAATAAATTTCGATTTACAACCGTTTACTGTAAACCGATTCAAGTTGAGAGTACTTGGCTATATAACTTGACCTAGTGCATGGATAAGTGATGTGTCTATATATAGGAAACCTCTAGTACACAGGATACATCTCTACCTCTTGGTTTATTGATCTCTCCTACCCATGATGTAGTACATGAAAATGCGTTTGTTCGAAAATTGTTTCGAATTGGGTTTCAACATAAGCTTCCACTATATTTATTTCGCTTCGATGTTTATAGAATGTAATTAAAGTCATTCGTTCCTTTAACAAAAGAAGGAAATCGTGTAAACGCGTAATTGCGTTTCTGTTTCAGAACGTATTCTATTCACGAAAAAACTACAAGAAACCGGAATTACAGATATCCCCGCATCAAGCGTTCGAAGAAGAAGTTACTCTGCTTGATACCTTCTTTCCCGGTAATTAACTATTCGTTTCCCAAATTGTATTACTTTTCAATTGTCAACAATTGTGAATTCGAGTGTCTGTTTTTTTTCTAGCTGGTGAAGCTTACAGTCTAGGTTCTGTAGACTCAGATTGTTGGTACTTGTATACTCTGAATAAAGAGAAATCCGTAGATGAACCCTCAGAACCGGATCAAACCTTAGAAATCCTGATGACTCATTTAGACACAGAAGTAATGAGTCTCTTCACTAGAGACGTTTGTTCCTCTGCAGACGAAGCGACTCAAAAATCTGGAATCGACAAACTGATTCCCAATATGATTATAGACGACTTTTTGTTCGAACCTTGCGGCTATTCAATGAACGGGGTATCAAAAAACGTAAGTATCTTTTCAACGGAAGATGAAACCTCTCGCGTAATGCGTGCTTTCGTGCGCGTACGTAATTTTTTGGTACATTTTTTTTCCAGGGAAACTACATGACTATTCATATTACACCGGAACCAGAATTTTCGTACGTCTCATTCGAGAGTAACATCCCAGAGGCATCTTACGAAGAGATAATACGGCGCGTGCTGAACACGTTCAAACCGGAGAAATTCGTCGTCACCATATTTGCTAATAAAGAATCGATAGCGGCCAGCTGTCCACGTGATATGGAACAAACCGATTATCTAAAAGGTTCCGGCGATTGGCTGCGCACGGACGTGCAATATTGCCGTTTCAAAAATTACGATCTGACTTGTGCATTTTACTCAAGATTTCCGAGCTGAGGGTTCATGGACGCTTCATTCGGTCCTAACAAATTAGGAACAAATGAAGCGCACGCAAACGAGGACGGCATCAAGTCGCGAACCTCTTTATTACCTTTATCGGATTCCGTAAACGAAGCAGACAAACCCAATCAATCTATAAAACATATATTAAAGGTTGGAAATAGAATTTACCAAAATCATGATCTTGTATCTGCTCAATATATAAAACGTAATAATGAAACAAAACCTAATGAGTGCACTGTAAAAAATTATACTACCCAAGGAAACATCGCAAACGTAACGACATCCAAGAGTCCAGTAATAGCGCCCATACCTCGATCCATCATCAATCCCGACGTGAAAGATAACTGGTTGATCGCCAATGGTAATGATTACGTGGATACTAACAAAGGTATTAATCCCAGCTCCATACGATCGGCGTCATCACCGCAGCTAACGATCAAGCCCCTGACACGGTCCAAGGTCTACAGAAAAGCTTCATTAAAATCGATGAACCTATCCAATTCCGCGTTAGACCACACTGTACAGAGTCAATGTAAATTCAATATCCCAAAATCGCAGACCCGCATAATCAATATTTCGAATTGTTCCGTCGTTTCTACGGACAGCAAGATACCTGTTTCATATCACACGGATCTGAACAACGGAGGAGACAGAGCGAACGACGTCAACGACACGAAAAACAAGTGGAGCATGGGGGAGGTGCACATTACCTGTAATCCGCTATCGACACCGTATCCGTATTCTACGCCGCATCACGCGCATGATAACGTTGTAACTGAAACCATGACAGGACCAGTCGAGGACGAACCGAAAAGTCGAAGCTGCGGCAACTTTTTACCGATCTTGTCGCTAATACCGCAAACGGTCATCGGCTTCCAATACTTGAGCCCGAAAATGAAATTCTCCTGGTGGAGGAACAAGATATCGTGAAGGTACGCTTAAACGACCATTCAGCGCCAATTGATGCACTAGTGGTCTTGTAGCGCAATTGTTGCTAGTGGTCATTGTAGCGCGATTAAAAGATAACTGTTTGATCGAGTTCTGTATCGAAAAACCTCTCTTACCTCGTAGTGAGATATCTTCCTCCCTTCTCGATTTTCATCAGTTAGAGGATATCCTCTCATTGTTAACACACACATACATGTATGTCAGTCAGTCCAGTCTGTACCTCTTTGCTACCGTTAAATATGATCATTATCGGAAAAGAACGCATGCACCAGGTAGATGTAACGAATAACACATTAGCGATTCCTTATGCTCTCTGTGGAAACGGTTTGCGTAATGTACAACGACTACGAATCCTTTCTATACGTGTATAATGTCCATATTGTACAATAACGTTTCTCTATATTGGACCCTCTAGTCCGTCAACTCTTTTCCTACTGTTTGTTATTAATAAGTAGATCGAGGCAATAAATATTCTTGCTCGTATAATTTTCAATATTACTTATTATAGAAAAATGCAAAAATACGAATTACAGCAATCTAAATTTAATTCCTTTTAATTCCTTTTAAAACCATCTCCGAAGAAATTCTCGCAACGAACATTCAAGTTAACGAGATTGTTGATGATTTAGATACATTTCTTTATTAAACTATCAACCTACTTTTAATTTAACGTGTATTTGTCGATTGATACGAGCTTCTAAAAGTATTATCAAAGTATAATTAAAAGTATTCCATGTGAATAACTACTATATGTGATATCGAAAAATGGTACGCCAGTCGGTATTGTGTATAATGTTGAGAATATGTAGATTTAATTCTTTGTAAACCCGATATCGGTTATTTCTTTATCAAATTTATCTTAGATTCATTTTACAAAACGGATACCGCATTAAACCTATAGTTAAGGTACTACGATTAATTTAATCATTCCTATACATGCGTGCGTGTAAAATACTAATTATTGTACGAGCGATACGTGAATATGCGAGTCATATCTGTCTTAAAAGATTTTTTATTTCTCTGTGAGAAATGTTTATATGTATGTATATATATATAGAAGTATCCGCGAGAAATTCATATTTCTAAACGACAAGAAACATTTATCAAGTATTTATTTTAACTTTTTTTTAGTCTTTTGAGTTTTATTAAAAGTATGTTGTTAAAATTCATACGGATTATCATTTTTTTCTTTTCTTCTTCCCACTTCTATATACCCTCCTATCAAATCAGTTACACGATATTTGTAAGCCTAATGTTTTAAATTATATATACAATTTCGCTTAATCGACTAATCAATGTTTTTTATCCACCTTTACATTTTACTTGAAGACATTCTTAAATTTTAAACCATTTTTTATGTGAATACGCGGTGAAGTTTTTTTACTTTTCTCAAAAAAAGAAACAAAGAAAAAAAGAGTGAGCGAGCGAGAGAGAGAGAGAGAGAGAGAGAGAGAGAGAGAGACAATAAGAATCGTAGTTTATCTAAGGATTTTGTTTCTTACGTTTACGAAATGATTTAATGTATAACTGTAGTAATATTAACAAACATCATTAAAAACCATTATTTAGTATATACCACATACATAGTTTACTCATTCTTAACAATACAAAACTTTTGTACTGTGATGTCTTCTTTTGTTGCGCATTACACATTAATTTCGTTCGAATCGCGTATGATTTTGAAAAGCTTATTTAAGAAACAGTAAACATACTTTTAACAAATGCTAATAATAAAAATAAATAAATGAAAAAAAACGTAACGTGGTAGGTAATATATACGTTAGTACCCATTAAGTGCTTTTCTCCAAATGTATTTATCTTTTGCTAATAGATCATCGTTGCATGTAAGATAAAAGTTAATTTCTGTATTACGGTCATCCAATAAAGATTATATTTAGTCAATTAACGCTGTATAGAATTCACTTATTTTGTTCAATAAATGTTATGTCTGTGAAGATCTCCAAATAGTTACTCAATCATTACAATACTTCCTGTACCATCGTTTTAAGAACAACAACTAGAATATTTGTTAAATTGATTAAATTATACGCGTATCACTGGGAAGATCTTGTCTCGCAAAATGAATCCCGCCAAACATCGCGTTGAATCTTGATCTCAATCCCTGTTGTACGCCCTTACGCGCCAGTTTCTGATGATCCTTCTGTAGCCGATGGATTTCCATGTCAAAGTTACTTTGAATTTTGCTTAACGCTAACAACGATCGAATTACTTTATTAAAACTGATTAAACAGCTAAATTAAAAGTTGATCCTCTTTACAGTCAGTGGTCGTCGCGTAGTTTCGTATTAAACTGCGTTACCTTTCTTTAAATCCATCTCATCCATCTCCATGTTACTAATCTTGGACAGCTCGCGTCTGAAATTCTTCGTTAGCCTTTTGCGAATATAATCTGCTTCTATTTCCTGTTTAGTCCGCGGTACACGAAATCGGATGCAACAACAGAGGCCGATCAATACGCTAAGCAGAATAGAAATAATTATGCCTGCCAGTTGCCAAACGCGAAATCCTGGCAACGCTTCGTCCTCCAACCATTCCTCGACTACTTCTTCGACGCTGTCCCCATGTCCTTTAGCTATTTCGTTAGGCGAACAAGGCGAGAACGACGAAGATAATATCGATGAAATCGTGGTTTCGTCCATTTGTTTAATTCCTCCTCCTTTAGTTAATAGCTGAAAAGTATTTCAATCATCTTTAATAATCAATAGTCTTGTCGTTATTATTCATTCGATATACTGTTATAACAGGTATTCTTTTCCTAATTAAACAAAACAAATCAATTATACGAGCATAATGCAGATTTCTTTAGAAAACATAAGCATCTCGTTTGAAAATTTATATCTGTTGTGAGAATTATGAAAATACTTACAAAATCTGCGTTAATGTCGAAAGTAACAAAAATTAATGCAAGTATTTAAACACTTTGTGTCATGTCAAAAAGTGCTTCTAACTGAAATTCAGACACACTAACTGTGGTAGCAGCTTTCGTTAAGTAAAAAGGTGTGGCTACTAATGAACACCCATGTGCCACACCTCAATCTCATTCTCCATTTTTTGGATCTATTTACTAATTACGAATCGATACAAACTGTAAGACTTGTAAGATCCTAATTTGATATAAACAAAGGTTTCCATAATTTATCTCACTCGCCACATAGAATTAATACTTTTTATTATCTTACAATAATTATAAGTTGATAAGAGAGATAATGAAATATAGACAATAAAAGTAATTTATCAAAAAAGACTGTCCTATGTTCGTTGAACATACGAATGATAAGTATATTACTTTATAACGTCCACGTCTCCTCTTATTTTAAAACATTTTCGTTGTACGTGGAGTTTACAATACTCTATTTTACAGTTCTGTTAAATTATTAAACGTGAAACATCTTTTAAAATAAATTGGTTGTGTTAACATCACATTTTTTCTTACGTAAACGGAAGATATTTTATTAAACGTTATTCAACAAGCTATTTCCTTCATTCCTTTGAAGACTTTATTATGAACTCTTGCAATGTATTACTTTGAAGAATTTCGATATAAAATGGTTTCTTAATCATGCGCTTCTTTTCTCCGCTGCAAGCACACACATTTTTAACTATGTGTATTCATTACAGCGGTTATAGACTTTTCTAAAGAACATTGTACTGTTCAAAGACGATGAGTAAGACTCGAACACTGAAAGTTCTTAACTCATTATTCCGATGAGTTACGAATCTTTCTATACAAATATTTTCCTTGCCAGATCAAAATGTTTCCAGCAAATCTATGTGAGATAAACGATCGTCATTTACCCTTTTATTAGAACAATACGAGCAATTTTACAATTATATTCATTCCTTCCTGATGAATGTACGACCTCTGTAAAAAAGATAAATATACCTTGTTATTCTATTTTATCATCTTAAGGGAATTAATTCAAAATTCATTTAAAAAAATTCAAAACGAGAATATCTCCTTGGTAACAAACATGTATCTTTAAAAATACTTACGTGATAGTTTTCTTTTCGGTGCTTTTTGACTGAGATCTTGCACGATTCAGTATTTTTAAAAAATCCGTCGTTTTAGTCCGCATTCTCGAATGAATGTATACTTTACTACACTTAATATGATAATGCAAGTAATTTCTAAACATGTGTATTAAATCAATGGTGTTATTGCGGGCTTCGCGGTTCGTATGCCTTGGGAATAACACTGCGGAACGAAATATGACGAATTTTTAATGTTTGCATTATATTCTGAAGAATTTGAACACAATTTATAATGAACAGCAAAAATTTTAGACTGGATAACTTTTTCGAAATTATACTAAACAACCTGAATTCACGCATCATTTAGTAAACTAGTCCACCTAACTAAAAATTCGCATCGGTTGATGCATGAGTCATAGTAGAAGTTTGCTCTTCACTTTATGATTATTTACCAAATGTTATGTATCCAACGCAGTCTCCAATTGCTGCCTCAGAGTCTTGTAATTCCATTGGTGGTTCACGATGATTAAACAAGACTTGCGGAGCCGTATGACTCGCACGTCTACCTTCCTTCAGTTCTTGTAAAAATAACTTTCCGATAACGATATCATCTTCATCTTTAAATATTGTGCTAAACACCACTGTGACTCTATCACTTTTGGCTTCAACGTACCTTGTATAAAAAATATATATACATGGTAAATAAGTTTATTATTTTAATACATTTATTACTATTACAAGTACGTTCTTGACATAATTACGAGAGAAATTCAATATGGAAAATTTGCATGTTGTTTGATAATGGTTCTAGATAAAGTAATAATCTATAAAATGCCTATTTAATACGAATAAAGAGTGGAGTAACTATATCTTATGATTATATGGATTCTTACATTGTCTCTTCTTCTCTATATTGGATAACAGCTCTTTTCTGTGATGGTGAATTTGGCGAATCATAATATTCCTCCTGGAAATCGAAATATTTTTCGAAGACACTAGCGAAACAATGTCTCTTTAAAAGCGCAATTTTTTTAACTAATGCCTCCCAATCTTGGGGTAAATTTTCCAAATCTAGCAACACAGAAACATTGTAGCCTGGAAAACAAATATGAAATCAGAAATTTCACAGGTCTGATTATTAAGCAAGTACTCTAATTTAACTAGAATATATCCTCAATCGATAGTTGTTTCAAAGTTGGAATAAATCCTTTACCAGTTTCTGGAGCTGTAAGGTAAGATCCATATTCTCGCTTGAGAAGTTCATCAGCTCCATGTTCTTGTAATTGCTTATAAAATTTAAGTAATATACTTATCTACAAGGAAATAGAATAATAAGTACATAATGTAAAATATGAAGCAAAGAAGAGGGATTATTATTTAAGTACTAACATCTGAATAAGAATTATAGACTGATGAGTATAAAAATATGACTATTTCTAAACTTACTCTAAGTTTTGACTTATCACCGCTCAAGCTAGAAATATGAAACAATACTCCATCAAAGTCTGCTATAACAACGTCTGTAGATTCTGGTTTATGACTATAAACAAATATATTTTAATTATATGAAATACGCACAATAATTCGTGTTAGACAATTTAATGTTGATAAGAACTAAGGATCTCGTAATATTTTTAAATACGTATCAATTTAGGGTTTCTTAGTAATTTAATTCTTGCTTTTATAATTTTTAAAAATATGTTGAAATCAATAGATTGAAAAAGTATTACGAATCCAAAGTTTTAGGTGAAAATAGCGAGAATAACCGTTATTATTAAAAGTAATTAGTTTTAATTTCGAGAAAACTACGTGAAATGTTAAAGCCGTTATATCATATTCTTTGAAAATAAGTACTGTTAATATTTAAACAAGGACACCGCCCTGGTGTGTAATCTCTAGCTTTATCTTAAAAACGAAGAATATATATCGAGCTGATAAAAAAAAGGAAACACTTACCCAGACAGAGCATTTTTAATTTTGTTAGTTAACGTTTCCTCTAATATCCTATTGTGTATCTCTAACAAAATCATCGTTATGCTTCGTATCAATTAATTTTACTATTGTAGCACACGGTTAGTATCAATTAACTGCCACGAAATTCAACTGCACTGTATGATAGACGTTTCTGACTAATTTCTAAGCTTTTCTCTTGATGCAAGCAAGTGCTCGCAGGTTTAAGGTTTAACATAGCCAGGTCACTCAATCATGCGTTATGTTTTATCACTGATTTTCTCGTTCCCACTCCCATGCTTCTATAAAGACGATACGAAAAGGAATATTCTCATCTATAAACAAAAAATTCTATGCCGCTGACAACACTTAAACGAGTCAATCAATGGTACAATTTTGCGCATGTGTAACGTCCACAATACAGGTATAGAACCTCGTAATCGTAGATGGGAACACGATCTTATAGACAGGCCTAGATGTCTGGACCAGAGATGAAAAGGGAGATTGCTCATTTCTTTGTTCGAAAGTGGACACGGCTCACTACCGCACCCTAGTGTCAATGTCCATTATTTAAGGGGAAATAGACGTAGTTTAGGAGGNCATATTCTTTGAAAATAAGTACTGTTAATATTTAAACAAGGACACCGCCCTGGTGTGTAATCTCTAGTTTTATCTTAAAAACGAAGAATATATATCGAGCTGATAAAAAAAAGGAAACACTTACCCAGACAGAGCATTTTTAATTTTGTTAGTTAACGTTTCCTCTAATATCCTATTGTGTATCTCTAACAAAATCATCGTTATGCTTCGTATCAATTAATTTTACTATTGTAGCACACGGTTAGTATCAATTAACTGCCACGAAATTCAACTGCACTGTATGATAGACGTTTCTGACTAATTTCTAAGCTTTTCTCTTGATGCAAGCAAGTGCTCGCAGGTTTAAGGTTTAACATAGCCAGGTCACTCAATCATGCGTTATGTTTTATCACTGATTTTCTCGTTCCCACTCCCATGCTTCTATAAAGACGATACGAAAAGGAATATTCTCATCTATAAACAAAAAATTCTATGCCGCTGACAACACTTAAACGAGTCAATCAATGGTACAATTTTGCGCATGTGTAACGTCCACAATACAGGTATAGAACCTCGTAATCGTAGATGGGAACACGATCTTATAGACAGGCCTAGATGTCTGGACCATTTTAGATCTTTCTTAAAAAATCATATATAATATCGATATTATATAAATTTTCATCTCGGGACATTCTTCTTAAATTAATATTATCATTTTTTAAATAAATTATGAAATTATTATAACGCGGGAAAATAGACATCGAATGTATAATGAATAAAGGACAAAAAACATATTAATTTAAATTTACATTATAATGAACACTTTATGTTGCGCAAAAATCAACAGTTCATTTCTCGGTTCAACTTTGATAGATACCAACTAATCGTTCCGTACTCTATGATCACTTGACTGAGGAATGGAAAGTATGGCGTGCACAAGGATCGGTAAAATTGTCGAAGCCTGCAGTAGCAGAAGTAAAGTGAATATTTTAGGGATACTAGCAAGAAATAAACATGATGTGACCACGGATTCTGCGAAAAAAGTTACTCACACTGGTCAGGTAAATTGTAAAAATACGTAATCGAAATGTATATTTTACTAACGAGCCTGTTTTAAATAAATTTGTTTTGTAATAGTTGTACGAGGAAGATGATTATCGTAATGCACGATTTGTTGATAGACCGAAAGAAGTTAATGATAATTGGGCCATTAAATTGATAGCTGAAGTTCCTCCAAATCCAACTAAAGACAAAATCGTTGCTTGTGATGGAGGTGGTGGTCCCTTAGGTCATCCTAAAGTTTATATTAACTTGGTAAGAATTATATGAGTAAAAGTCATAGTGATGGAAGGCAGTTGAGCTCTCAGCTTCGAAAGATATATTCTGGCCACAGAGAACACTTCAATCTAAGGACATATTTGTGATTTAAAAATTAGCAAGAACTGCTAATTTAACTCGGAAACTTGATTACAATGCTTTAAAGAAATTTTTAACTTTTTTACTATTGTATGGCCAATATTGGCTCTCTGACTTGCACTGTGGAATGAAGATAGGAATATACCTATGCAACTATATACTCTGATTCTAAGTATGTGCATATTGACAAACTTTGCTAATTTTTAAATTACAAACATTTCCTTTGATTTATGAATTGTCTAGTGTATGAGTGCATCAAATAGGAAATTTCAATGCCGACTTCCAATGTAAAAAATGTTCGTCGTTAAATACTGTTGCTGAGTAATCATCTTCCAAATTTGAGCAATTATTTTTGACTAATATATTTGGAACTTCACTTGCCTTTCAGGATAAACCTGGTAATCATAGTTGTGGATATTGTGGTTTACGTTTCTACAAAGAGGATCATCATTGAATCATAGATTATATCAGATTCAATAGTCAAAATGTAAATTCTGTATGTGTTTCAATATACATGTTTGTTTAAATGTTGAGAATGTAAATAAATGTCAAGACATAGAATAAAAGATCATTTATTTATCGTTCTCGATTTCGTATGTTTATAATGCGGTTCTTTGACTGTTTATACCTAATGGTATTGCTTGTAATTCAGTTTTCATACAAAGAAATTCGCCACAAACGCACATGATACTTAACGATACGATATTTAGGCACCACCAACTAAACGAGGGAAAGCTTGAATTGTATACCCAACAACATAGTAAATGTATCAAGTGCGCAGTACAAGCAAAGTCCATACACTGTTTTGTTCTTTGTACTAGCCACCACAATGCTATAGCTCCGATTAATGCGTTTAAGGTAAAAATAATTATGATAAATTGCCCAGCAAAATCTCTAACATGTATCTGCTTATAGTGAAAAATATAATCTAGTGATTTTGTCGATCCTATACAAGTCGTAACGATCCAAATCCATAATCCAAGGCAGAAATACATCACAGTTTGAATAGCAATTATTTGAGATATTATAAGAAATGGGTCCCATATTGTTTTACGAAATTGTCCAGAAATGTTATTCATTATTGAATATTTATGTTGATTTAATAGCAAGCTTTCATTTTGTACATTCCATGTCATACAACTTTATATTTCTTTATCTAAAACAAAAGTAAAAAATTGACATAAGAAAGTGAACCGCCTAATAGGACAGTACACAGGAAAATGGATATATTACTCACATTGTGTGCGGCAAATTAAAAAAAATTCAGGAATTTTTAAATCACATGGAAAAATAGAGCCAGCTGTGATTCGTTGACTCGTCAATTTCTGTTAATCAACATGAACAAGATTCATTTAATGTAAAACCAATTAACCTTAATTCATAAACATATTGCACAATTGAAATAATTCGATTATATTACTTATATTTCGCAAATTAATATAAAGCTGGTTGAAGCATTACTCACACAAATTATTATTAGAAAACATTTAGGAACAATATTTTGACAACTATGTTATGTTTATGTCAACATCTCACGCGAATGCAAACCACGTTCAAACGAAATGTCTAAAGCACAGGCACAGTCAGTAAAATGTCAGTGTCAGTGTCAGACGAATAAATGACTAACTTCAGATAGAAGACAACGGAGTTTCGAGAACATTGTATGTATAGCAATGTATAGAGTATAGACTTAATTGGAAGCGAAAGCTCTGTATGTGTGTTAAAGCTGATTAAAGCTGCTATGGTCAACTCGTGATCAAAGTGATGTGATGCAACTTTCGTTTCGATTAAATGCGTAGATCGAAGTTAATTGATATTATAAAGCATGGAGTTCTGGAATTTCATCCGCAACATATTTAGAGGAAACAGGTCCGAGGAACCTAGAAATTTTAAGCCATACGAGGCACCAGTATGGCAAAATGATGATATTATTGATACCTCCAGGTGATATACTTTACAACTTGTTCAAATGTGTATATTATTTTATTTGCTTTGTATTTGCATAGATAAAGAGTTGCTAATTTTAAATTGCAAATGATAGGCATTTCAGAGAACCTGATCACTTTCAAATCTTTACTGATCCTTTACAAATGACAAGGTTTTTTGAATCCCAAATGGAGAATATGTTATTATCTTTCTTTTATGGATTTAATGGGGGTATGTATACACATACAGAGTGACAAAGTTACTCTTTATGTCCCGATAAAGAAGCAAAATAATGATAAAACGATTATAGTACTTTATGTGCTCCTGCAAGTAATTTTCCTTTTATATGGAATATGTGACTCTATGATGAATAATTCACGCGTTATTTGAAATCGTCAAGTTATAAGAATTACCTCGTATTCTCTTGTGTATTATTATTATGAAGTAAAATTTTTAAAATTTGCTTAGGAAATGAAGCAGATACAAGACACCCATTTAATGCTTTTCCATTCGGATCTTCTCAAGAAGGCAATATACGAGATCAATTTCTGAAATCAAGTAACGATCAGCTGGTATTGAAAGAGGATACAGATTTGGATGGAAAGTCAGTAATTAACTTGAATAATAGCTACTGTATTTAGTTAATGAAATCGTTCGAACGTGATTAAATCCTTATCATTTTCAATAGAGTTACTCCAGACAACTTTCCGAACATTTGGAATGAAATTGAATCAAATATTGAAAAACCAAAATTGGAAGTAACTCGACCATTCATAAATGGCTTCAGCAAATCTACGACGAAGGTATGTGTCCGTAATCCTGATGGTACAATAGAACAAAAGCAAGTCGTTAGAGATTCTGAAGGAAATGAAGAAACAGTTATAACACGTCGAAGTGGTGATAAAACTCACACAGTTATCACGAGGAAAGACAAAAATGGCGTAGAAACGAAAATAGAAGATTTCTGTCACACAGGTGAAGATCAGAAATTCATGTAACTAGCGATATATTATTTTTACAAGTACTACGTAAATAATGAATATGATGTGAATTTCAGGTGAAATCGAAGATAAAGGGAAACCGTCATTAGGTGAACATATTACTTTCCCTAAAATTGATTTGAATTTCTTTCCGTGGGACAAGTTTTTTAAATTTGATCCAACTGAATCTAAATAAATGCTAATTATTCATAGTTTATAACTTAGAAGAGATCTTAGAATAAATTGTAGTCAATCTAAAAAATATTTATTACCCCTATTTCATGTGTAACTTGAAATAAATTTGCTTCAGTACACTGAACACATCGTAGTTGACTTCATAAATCTGTGTGTTTATGTAACTATACAAATATTTTCTTTAGCAAAGTTTATTAAACCAACTACGATAAACATTATGTATCGCCATATTCCTATAGAAATTCGATTTTCAATGTAAATAGCAGGTAAGTGATCTCCATTACAAATGTTTTAAAATATATTTATTATATTAAAAATTTGAACAGCCCAAGAAACGATAAATAATGACATACAGATACATCAAAATAATGAAAAATTAAGTAGAAGTTACACATAATTCAATTACACATAAATATCTTTAAAAAGTAAATGGTTTCATACATTGTGGATAAAAGATATAAAACTTAAAATACACATTGTACAAAATTTACGATACAAGTATGTATACGCCTTTGAAATCATTTGCCAAAGATAGAATATGTATAGAGGGTTTCGCTATTCTTGGAAAACATTTTAAGAGATAATTCCTGCATTTTTTAAGATAATAAGAATCAAGGATAAACAAATTGCGATTGAGGCTCCATTTCAAATTCTAAGTAAGTTATCAAGTGAAATTCAAATCTCAATTTTTTCATTCTTGACCCTTGTCTTATTTTCTTTCTCTCTCATAGATGCCGATAGAAAAATCCTCGCGATCATCTTGTTTCCTATTACCCTTTAAAATATTTGCCAAAGGTAGCAGAACATCCTATATAATATTATAAATCTTTGTCGTATTTTTATTTCATATTATTTTGTTATTACAATACGCGTTTCGTCTATTTAATTTGTGTGTACATATATACAATTTTATATTGCATACATGTTAAACGTTAAACGGTTAATTGTTTCTTACATTAATTACAATATCTAACTGTACATATATGTGTGCATACATGCACACACAAATTGTTAAGTTAACAAATTTCATGTTAAATGCCCAAAGATCATAATAGACAAAATATTAAAATTATATCTGACATTGTAGACATCAGTTTATCAATCGTAGGGCGAATTACATATGAAATCGTGCAGTTAACTGAGAAACAAACTTTGTTATATTAACAATAATCGTTTTATAGTATAAATTAATAATCTATTAGTTTGTTTAAAACATCATTACGATTAGGACAGAACATGAAATTGTTATGGAAAATACGACGTATTCATAGTTCAATATGTACAATATTTATTATAATAATTTCCGCAAATCCTTTATTCGGGAATGGGACACAAAAATATCGCAGAAAGCATCAATAATTCGCAATAATTACATAGATCTATTCAAAAGTTAAAACAAATTTGAAATAATCTTCAATGAAAGCAATTATTTTGGCATTTTCGTGTCATATTTTTATTCCTATGAACTTTTCATAACTTTTCTTTGTAAATATTTACAAATAGTTTAAATATTTTCTCTGCACTTCACTGACATTTTCTACGAATGTTATACGTTTAGTTTCAACTGCACCATATAAAATAAATCGACGAATACAATCACTTCAATTAAAATTAATAGAAAAATTTCCTAGACTAATAGAAACATCCATTACTTTAGGAGACATTCTGTGATTTTGAATACCACTTTTTAAACAATTTTTAAAATTATTCAATTTTTGCTTTAGGCTTTGTATATATATAATTTGGATGTTTGTTTTCAAAGACATTTTTTATGTATTTGTCAGAACCTAATGCAAAAACTGTAATAATTATTTTGATAAAATTGTAAAATATCGTTTAAAAAATGTCATTCGAAGCCAGAATGACTGCTTAAAGGAATTCTTATTTAAAAACTTGATTTCATTCTTAAGGACAGAATAAAACATTGTATTCTTTCTACTACTATTCTACAATACAGTCCCAAATGTATTGCCTTGCTAAAATCATTTTTCTGTTGCTTTCGTGTACCATGATGAATCCTATCTAATAAGATCTGCATATGTAGTAATTTTACAGGCGAACATTGAGAAGATACAGGGCATATTTGTACCCATTTTCTTTTTCTGCGTCAGCGTCATCCTCGTCTTTCTTCTCATCTTGTGTTAATAATAATAAAAGTAACTGAGAAAAGTGAGGATGAAAGAATATTGTTTAGCGCTGCATTTCTTAATTTTTTCACTTTGTGGAATATATTACATTTAACAAAGTGTATTTATTCTTGACCAAAACCTTCTGTCTCTTCAATTGCATAGTTTAATTTTTCTACTAGCTGATCGTAACTCTTGTACGGTGGTAAATCCAATCTATTGAAGCAGGTATGCGATCTAGGTAACCATGTATCTTTCCCTACCTTTTCTATACAAAATCTCTGAGGGCCGTTGCTCCCTGAGAAAATAATAAATCCGATTTTAAATACAAGTTGGTTCATACGTTGTGCACTTTTAATTATTTACCCATTAATTCTGCAAATCCTCCAACAGGCACTCGACAAGTACCCGTCACGAATTGTAGAAGTCGAGCTCGTTTCTCACTGTCTGTCCGCGTTACAAACTGAGTAAATCATACAAGTGTGATAAATAACAAAGAATTTCTTGAAAAATTGTGCATGGCATTTAAAACACAAACCTGCCAAAACCATAAGATTTGCTTGCTGTTCCGTGTATAATGTCTATAAATTGTGTTACGTTGCCAGTCTTCCACGTCTATTTCCTGCATACCGCAAAGCATGAGCTCCAACTCACGTTCGTCGAAATATTTCAACCATTCTAACGGTACAACTGAATTAAAACCTTCCAAAAATGCTTTAGTTTGGTCCTCTATACCTCTCGTCATTCTCCATTCTGTCATCAATCTTATATAACAATAACAATTAATGACCAACTTTGAAAACATCAACTTGGTAAGTAAAGTATAAACAGTAGCAATACCTAATATACTCCTCTTTGTTCTCTTCGACAACTCTGACTTTGTCACCACCTTCTTTCAATTCGTGATGTATCACTTGACCCAGAATTTCGAAATCAACACTATAATACAATTCAAGGCTGCATTCGTCGATGTTATTTTCCTTTGTCCACACGAGAGATTTATAGAATTCCGGATCGATCGACTCGATATCTTTCATAACTAATTTCTTGTTTAACATACGTTTATAGAACGGCATAGTAAATCCGCTATAGATAAACCGTCCATGATAAAGAGCCTGCGAGCAATGAATGCATCAAGGTAAATATATTATTGGATAAAGTAGTGTTATTATGTACTGATCAATATAATATAATGTAAATAAATACCATTGCTATAAATCTTCCAATAAACTTAAAATATTGTAAATGATCAGGATTGACGTAAGATGCTGGATTGATTTGCAAGCTATAGTTGTTCTTATTGGCATACTCGAATAAACAATACATTGGATTTAATACTTCGTGACTCAATAAGAAAAACCATTCTCTGGAATTAAAATTCGTTATCCAACTGGTTTCCACAATTTTAAACAGTAAGACCACTCTAGCACTCACAAGAGAACATACCAAAGTGTTGCCCAAAATTTAGACTTTCATAGATTTCATAAAAATGTTTGACACATATGTTTCTTTATCAGAAAAATAGCCCTTTTTTTTAGAGTATAATGAATGAGTTAGAGTGGCTCTACGATAAAAATTTCTGTTTTAAATAATGTTCAGTTTGTACCTTGATACACCCCCATAATCTAGCCCTTCTTCTCCTTTAAAAATGATGTACAATCTGCGTCTTAATGCAAAAGCCTCTGCATTCATAATTTGATGATACGAATCTTCGAATAACGTTTGACGATTTACACTTATTTTAATATGATTTGGCAATGCGTTCGTTTGACATAAGAAACGAAATTGCGACAACTTCCATCGAAATGATCTTTCGTACGCTCTTGGCACGCGGTAAGTACCTTTTGGACTAAACAATAACATGGCAATAAGCAATACAATGAAAAAAATTTAAATAAATATAAATATAAATGTCACATTTCTGTTCATGTCACAATTTTTGCTCATTGGAGTACTTGACCATAATTTTAAATGTTATTTTGAAATGATATAAAAATAAACCAGTGAGGTAAAATTCTAACATTTACAGAAATTGGGACATTTACCTTAGTATAAAAGGTTTAAAAATAAAGACAAACCCTTTAGGTGCACCAGGTCTTGGATCTTGAAACGTGGTAGTTCTCGTATTATGATCTACAAAATATCGAACCCCGTCTTCGGTTAATCGTATTTCCCAACCATCTGGTAATGGTGGCTCGTCGATTCCAGTCTCTTGACCCTGTGTTCTTGGATCTTCCCATTGTGTAGTACGATTTTGATGATTCACGTAATAAACCCTCCCTTCTGGTTGTTTACGCCTTTCCCATCCAGCAGGTAATGGTCCCAAAACATCGTCATCGTCAGCCAATGACGTTGATGGTCCGGCTATGGCTGCTTGACTTCCATGTGCCTATACATGTTCAAATTAAACTGATTAATGAATCGCACGTCTTACAGTTAAAGAATTAGAAACACGAGCGAGTGACCTAACGTTTGTACCTGAACCGTCTTTACTGCTTTTAAAGATACGTTAAAGAGACAAGTTGAAGTTGAAGAGAAAGTTGAACGGTTATGAGATACAACAAAATCGTAACAGAATTTAATAAATCATTAAAAACAAGTACAAATATTTCAAATAGAAACGTTAGGCGGTTTACGCTGTATAAAAAAATTATCAAAATTATTTATTACTTACTTGAGGATAAAGAAACCGTTGATTACCTTGTTGTACCACATGCTGCCTTTCACCTTGCCAGTGTTGAAAATGTTGCAATCTTTCTGTGTTCGGCCTTTGCCATGTCGTACTTCTTGTATTATGATCAACGTAATAAATTCTTCCTCTCGGGTCTCGACGAACTTCCCACCCTGGTGGTAAAGGTTGCGGTCTCTCCCAAGAAGTACTTCGCGTATTATGATCAACATAATATCTAGTTGACATCAAATAACGTTAGACATAAAGTATTAATGTAAAAGACGATTTCACTTTTATAATACAACCTTCTGCCATAAATGTCGTATCTCATTTCCCAACCAGGCGGTAAGGGTTCCTCGGAATGGCTCGTAGGTTCAACTTCTGTAATTATTATGGAAGATCCAGGCTGATTCGACTGACCAGGTATTACAGCAGTTTGCCCAGGCAGCGAAGGTACACGTTGCACCACTCGAGAATTCGAACGAGTAGTCATGGGCGCAGGATTCGCGTACTGTTCATTATGAGGCATCATTCTCCGGGCTTCAGGCCCGGGTAACATCGCAGGTTGTGCATCCGTGCGCGGCATTCCACGATTTTCCGTTATAAGATACACTGCAGGTTGTTGTTCTTGATGAGAACCATCTTGCAACGTAAACACCACGGGTTGTTCCGTTTGAGAACTTGCTTGATTATCTATCACATGATATTAATTGACATTTATTTGTCGCTAAGGCGCGATATACATAGTCTAATAAATGTGTGCTCTAACCTGCTCTCACTGTTCCATAACTATCTGAATGAGGAACAGTTACCGTTTGCTCTGTTCGAGAATTACGTTCACTAAGGACAGACTGCTCTGTCCTATTATGCGAACATCCATCAGTATTGGCTATAGTTAATGGACCCGATCTAGAAATTTCAACTGGCCCAGACATTACCGCCGGTTGAGACATATTAGCACTCTCCGCGAGGGGAACCCTTTCATTTATTGTACCAGGTACGTGGCCTGCTGGACGTTCTAATCGAGCACTGACTACAACCGATTGATTAGATCTAGAAATGCCAACTATTCCAGATAATACTGCTAATTGTTCAAATTGAGAAGCGCTACAACTCTCCGAGAGGGGAGCCCTTTCGTTTGTCGTACCAGGAATATGGCCCGCTGTATGCTCTAGTCGGGTATTGGCTACGTTCGATTGATTAGATCTAGAAGTGCCAACTGTTCCAGGTAATACTGCTGATTGTTCAATTTGAGGAATACTACGACTCTCCGATACGGGAACCCTTTCGTTTACTGTACCAGGAAAATGGGTTGACGGATGTTCTAGCCCAGACATTTGACGAATATCCGATAAGGATGTAGGATAGCGTCTTGATAACGTTAGAACGCATTTGTCTGCCGGTGATACAGCATGTCCGTTTGACAAAGCATTTGATGGTACGGGCTCTGTCTGTTCATTATTCTTATTGGCGCAAGCTTGTTCGCTTCCATTATTGTAAGAAGAACTCTGATAAGTCTTTGTCAACGCTCCGTGAAAGGTGGATGACGCAACGTGTTTAGGTGCGTGTAATCTTATGCGTGCACGAATTCCCCCATTAAGAATACTACTATTGCTAACAGTATCGTTACTTGAAACACCTAAAAAATCATTTCACACTCTTTTATATGTATTTTATCTACGTAATGCACATATATTTGCATTAAGAAGAATTATTTTAATTAATAAACATTAATCTAATTTTTTACCGTCGAAGGGTATGCAAGCTGATTGCGTTTGACACGATGACGATTCATTAACACTCAACGACGATGCATTTGGCATATTAATTCGCAATCCATCAAATACTGTGATCAACTCTCCAACTTTACATAATTGAGAATCATGTTTGTTTTCACTCATTAAATCGAACGTCACTTCCATATTTTCCAGTTTCCCATTGTAGTGGGACAATACATGTGATAGGTTGATTTTCTTTTCTCCTATCAATGTGTCCTTTCGAAACGTGCTGTGATCCAACAACCGAAAATGCAACTGCGAATACGGAGTCACAAGTATTGTGAATTCCTCGTTCCATTTTGGTTGATATGTAGATTTCGAAACTTCTGTTTTGCGAGGACTTTTATCATCGACAGAAAATTCTACGTAAGGATTAGGCTTCAAAAATGTAGAACTTCTTAATATAGCACCTTCGACTAAAACAAACAAATTTTCTAATTTTTAGCACTGATGGGATTACACCTTTTTTCATTCTTTAAAACATTTCTGACTTGTCAATTTCTTTGAGATAGTTGACATACTTGAAACAGGCCACCTAAATATCTCCTCTATCTTTGAAAATACAAAAAATGTTTCTGTAACTTAAATGGTGTCAAAAGACGAGACAAACCATTAAAAAATTGCAATTTATAAAAACCCATCTTCCATCTGATTCGCTTTTTGAAATCATTTAGATTACGTCAGAAACATATTTCGCATTTTCAGAGAGAGGAGATATTTATGTCGCCTGTTTTAAGCGAAACACTCTGTATATAATTTCTCTTCTTTTGTAATAATGAAAAAGTAAAATAATATATTAATTATATAGATGGACAAAATGTTGTTATAAGGATAAACTGTGTGTATTGGATATCTGTGTATTATGCACAAATAGAAATTTTACTAAAAAAGCATGTAAGGTATCATTTTTATTAAGTGGACACATTGTTTTATTCATCAGTCGATCCATTTGATGTGTAACAACATTAGAAATATTTATAAGCATGAATACAGGTAATTTATAATGAAACCTGTTTAATTCAGGCTCACTTAAGTAAGTGTATTTCAACAACTTTCAAAACAAAGTTTTCGATTTCTATGAAAACCTTGTTTTCACATGTTTGATTTAGGCTTTTATGTAAGATCATTACCTTTTTGCTTATACTATCAACTACCTAACACTCTATAGTATATCAATATCCGTCAGATAACTTGTATGCAAAATGTTTCACACACTTACTAAATGAAAAGTGATGATGGAAAAATCTGAGGAGACATTGGCTTAATTTTTTTATGTAAAATGACAATGAACTAAAGTAATTATTCAATTCATAGCCTTGTAATATCTTTGAATCTGCTAGACGTATAGCTTATTAAAAGATAATTATTCAACAACTATGAGAAGAAAAATAAATTAAATATATGAATAAAGAGAATGAGAAATGAAAAGTTCTCATTAGACATAATCTTAAGTATGTAAAAATCAAATGTTTCTTTAGGCATCCTCGGCCTCTTGAAATGTAATCATTTTAAAAAATTTATCTAGCAGTATGTCAAATTTAATCAGAATTTGCTAAATTCTATTATTGATAGAACTTGCTCATAAACAATAAAGTCTATCTTTACATGTTTCGTTATACTTTTATATAAAATTAGGAACCTTTTAAAACTATTTATTCTGTTTTAATCATTTTCTGGTATATTTTTACAGTTATTCGAAAATGTCTATTTAAATGACATGTATACCTTGGAAAATGGCTTTTAGTTTCATAAAATACAAGAATACGTATAGTAAATGGATATAAAGTTTCAGTTAATTAAATCAGCAAATCATTCTTCATTTCAAATGATAGCACTTATTCACTTGCTCTCCTTACTAACATATAACTACATACATCAATATGTTTTCAGTCTTTTTAACTACAGATAATATACAGATAACTTACTTGTAATGCTTAATTGGTGAAAACCAGATGAAGCCACTTCTTCTTCACAATGAGACATTGTACACAATTTATTATAATTTAATAGAATAATTCTTGAGAATTCATAATTTTTTTACTATTTACATATGAGTTCCACCTGCAATATTTTATAACCTTAATCAATAAAGCAAGCAAATATTGTAAGACGTTCAAGTATCTCTGTACAGAATAATTGTCATTATATGGTAATAAACAGAAGAGATAACTGAGTCAGGTTAGGCAGGTAAATTACGTTGCATTGTTATTTGAGAGGAAAAAACAGTTTTCGATTGTCTATTCGATAAACAGTAGAAAAGATGTTATTAAAAAAAAATGTACGCTTTACAATAAATGTATGCGTTGCGCACGAAAAACTGACTTGCAGTAAGATATAAAAGAAACCAGTGACGACTTTCACATATTAAATTAAAAACAACATTGGTACACTGGTATCCTTTCTAAACGAGCGAATACTGAAACTGTCCGAATAATGAGTAAACAATAATGATACATACGGATATAGTTCGAATGAATTGTTTTAAATGCGTCCAACACCAATGCATTGCCCGTCTCTAAGGCTACTAATCTTTATAATGAAAGGAGAGTTCTTTTTACCACTTACAATTTTTATTATCACAGAACTTCGTTATCAGTAGGTCACCATCTTTTTATACATCAAAGGTAGGAACCTTTTGTAATATGCGAATCACTAGGTGCATGCGCGCGCACGCGTTAATTGTATTTTTCGTAAAAAATAAATTGATACAGTACACGTATTATTGTATTACTTTAATTACTTTGCCAATTAAAAGTGTTGTATTTATTCTTGCTTGCCGATATTGTTTCTGTTATCATGAGAAACGATATCTACGAATTAATTCTCAGACGACGATTAGATTTAAAAATATTTAATTAGTGATATGCAATTATTAATTTATTGTGTATGTGTTATACTGAATGTCATTTAAATATTTTTAAAGGAGATTGTTATTTTTATTAATATTCTTATAGATCGCCACGGAGCGTTGCCCTCTGCAGGTATTACACTGAAACAAACTCCGCGATTCTTTTAACGTCTGAGTCTAAGCTGGTCTAAGCTATGCTGAGCTATGCTTATGCTTTCAGTTACTTTCAATGCTTGTCAATGCTTTCAATGAATCCGGCTGAATCTAGCTAAGTCAACACGTGCACTTTGTCGAACATAGTAATGTAAAATAATCGAACAACGTGGATTATATTACAAATTTTAATTATTTGTGCATTTACTGCATTGTGTGCGCCAACAGAGTACTCGCTGTACTTTATCTTGTTCTACTTTCTATGAGCAATTTAAGAATATCTAGCTGTCTCTCGGTGTAAGCAAAGAAATTCCACTTAATTGTGTATAGACGATGGCGGGAAGAAAAGAACAGTTCGATGAATTTCTGGGTGGATCCGAGCAGTTACCACCAGAAATTCATATTATGAAGCTTGTCTCCGCGAGAGCAAGCGAAATTGCTGCAATGACGTATTCTATAGGTATGATAAACGACTTAATCTGTTTTAATGTATTGAATATATCTTATTTCTTTAGGATACTGACTGTTAAACGATTAAAATTAATGTTGCTTTCGCTAAAATTAATTGTATCTTGCAGAAAATCCTCAGCAAACGAAACTCGTATTTCAAAAACTACCGGTGTATATGCGTAGGCGCGTCATGTCGCACAACATGAAACGCTTACCGCGTCGATTGCAAGAAGCGCATTTAAGTCAAATGACCAAATCCGGTTTGCCGCCAAAAGCTAAAAGACCATCGCGCAAATATCGCAGACGTCCGCGCAATTTACTTGCCGAATATAATCGGAGACAAAGGAATAAAATTTGGCTGGAGACTCACATTTGGCACGCCAAACGTTTTCATATGGTAGAAAAGTGGGGCTACAGAATAGCCAGTTTTGCAAATGACAAATGCTTCAGAGCCAATTATCGTGCCGTTGCACGTCACTGCTTGATGCAAGACATTTCATATTACACGTGCGTGGAAATTAGCGGCCCGGAACAAGTCCTAAAAGAGACACTAAAAACGCATTGTAATCCATGTGAAACAACATTCGCGGCAAAGATTTTTACAACAGGACAACGCGAGGGTACAGTCATGTTTTTTAAGAAGAATAGCTACCCTCGATTTCCGATTGGACATGTACATTTTTTATGGAGACCCAGTCAATCTACTATAAAAACTATTTGGATTTGGGTACATCCATCTTTCATTGACGACTTTATCGCGGAAATTACATTTAGCTTTGAATTCAAGTGCATAAATTCCACCTCTGAGAATAGTCAATCGGCAAAATGTACCTCTTTTATCAATGAAAGAGATTGTAAATTGATTATTCATAGGGGTACCCTTAACCGGTTTCGGTTTTATGGACCATTAACAATGAACGTTTTGACGAATGCTTTTCACGTGCCGAATTTCGACGCCACAAAATTTGAAGATAATCAAATGGATTGCGATGAGGAAGCTAAAAATTCTGATAAATTGTGGCATGTTGACTATTACAATAATCAAGAACATAGAGAATCGTTAAAAGTACAAAAAAATTTATGGCAAATGTTAAAATCGCTACAATCCCCTAGTCAATTGCCGCCAAATATTGTTCTTGGTTTTACCGTCTTAGATCCAAGATTTTATTTACCTGATAAAAGAACTAAACTCCAAAGACAGATGCGGACAATTAATGCAATGCCAATTCCACCTGCAAACGCAAATGCTAGTCCAATTTGGGAACAGGAGATTAGACAGAAAGTCAGTAGGATATGTGCAACGACAAGTGCAATTAATAAATTGAGAAGTCAATGTTTGGTACCTGGTACGAGCAATGACAAATATTTTGACGAACAAATTATGGCGAAGATCCCTATTCTATTGATTCAAAGACCTGGCATTGGAACGACAGGTAATCGATTATTCCATCACGTTAATAATGACATTCAAGACTAATAAACATATTATTGTAGGTTTAGGTTCTGGAGTAGACATTATTGTGCCATCCAACTGGGCAATGCCATTCTGGCTAGCTTGCATACTTCGATGCGTAAGAATTGGCGCGCTCAGAGAATCAACATCTATAGCATTTGAATACCAAAATATGCGATCACCGGATATCAATGATCCAGACACACCTGCTTACGAGAGGCAAGCATTGAGTACTAGGCTAGACTTAAGGGCAAAATATTTTCGTTATCCACCGAATAGACGAGTGAACTTTGTTAAATTCGGGATTTCTAGCCCTTTCTTTTGCGAATGGAAACTTTTGATGAAAGAATGGACAGGCACAGAAGAATTTTCCGTACTGAGAAATCGTAAATTAATACAACTGTTACATCGAAGTTTGACTCAAGGAGTTTATAAACGGAAATGCAATAAATCAAGTAGCCATGCGTTAAATATACAAGACGCATTCGAAGACTACAATTATTTAGTTCGCGTTAAAGTATCCATTCTGAAAAAGGGATGCCCTAAACGATTTGCGATTATATCTATGCCAACTGATGAAGATGTAGAAAAATTTAAGAATAGTAAAACGTGGTCGGGTCCAGTAGAGAAATTAAACATTGACCCAAATGAAAGCGCCAGGAAGATATTACGGAAAAATCATTCGGCTCTTTTGAAACGGTTAAAGAGACAAAGAATACGATACAAAAAAGCATCAACTAGTAAATTAAGTGAATTGTTGAACGGTCAACTTGAAAGCTCCAACTATGTCGACAAGTCAAAAAAATTGTTACAAGTAAGCCGCGAAGCTGTAAATAAACAATCTCAACGAATGTCAGAGTTCTATTTACCAGACTGTAATCGGGTACGATTTTCCTGTGATAGAGAAATTATAGGATACGTGACAATAGGTGATTTTTCGTTTTCAGAGGCAAAAGGGATAGGTTCAGGATATGTAACATTAAATTCCTTAATTGAATTGATAAATAAACAGTATCCTATTGTTCTAGTTAGGAATATTCAGACAAGACAGTACAGAATTGCCAAGTTGGAAGTGACAATTTAGCAAATAAGAATAGTTTTATTGCTATCTGTGATTGTTAAATCGTTTCCAAATACATTTTCTTTGTGTATATTGTAAAACTGAGTTTGCAAAGAAAGATTTTAGAAATAAGAGATTAGGAACTAATTTTTTAATATTAAATGTGTATTCATTTTACATCACATACCTCATTTGAAAATTCTTAATTTGTGTTCATTGTATACAGGTTCAGTAATAAAAAATAGATCAGTTATATTTTTACATCTAACTAATACGGTTAAATTATCTTGCTTGAACTGCTGCTTCTTTGCGTGCAGCATCCTGTAATAACTGAGTATCCACTTCGTCCCCTGGTAATTGAACGTAACGTACTACTGACCCTCGGATGAAACAATTTTTTACAGACAACTAAAAAACATTATAGTTTTTATTTTTATCGTAATTTCTTCTTTCATAGTTGAAGTTGAAGGGATGTTACAAACCATGTGAGGATGTTTATCTGGATCAGTGACACTTATATCTGTCAACTTTATATTCAAGTACTGATCTACCGAGTGGAGAGTACCACAAATGCTAAACATAAACATTGCATTAGATGGTGGGAATAGAAACCAAAGTATAGTTTTCAATTTACCTTAGATCATTTTTCAACTCCACAACTACATCCTTTCCTATTAAGGATTTAAAGAATGAATAAAACAACTGTAAAATACAAAAACATGAACTTATTCCACGTCGCCCACGAAAGTGAAGGTTAACCCGCCAAAAAAAATACAACAAACTCACCATTTTTTGTGAGCCAAAAGTATTTGATACTTTATCCGTTTATCTGTTTATATTATTTAATGGACATGATGAAGAATTATTAATTATAGCTAAAAAGTACAGTTTGCCGGCACAAAATTTCAGTTGCGTCGTATGACAATTCGTTCAGATTATATAGAAGTATCCCTATACGCGCACGTGTTAGTTTAAAATTTGTTTCATAGTACTTGAACACTTCTCCTTTGATGAGTCAATATAATGCTGAATCAAAAACTGTTTATTCGAATTTGTTATCTTATATATCGAGTAATTAAAGATATAATTTTGTGGGAGAAAAGTGGGAATTTCATGATAATTTTGTTTATACCGACTACACACCTACTTTGATTACATATCTTGGCCTTCATTCGTCGCGTTACTCCTACTGATTGGAGACCTTTATAGCTATAAACGAAAATTGATCGTTCCTTGTAGAACGGTCTTGAAGAATTTCATCAATAAAGTTTTATCAAAATATGTTTTACCGTGTTCAGTTAGAAATGGTGGTTTGCTCTTGCGATTTAAATGTGACAGCCCATTGAGTTTTCTGTGATAATTATAGACTTGTGTCGCTAACGTGGCTTGAACAGATAAAAGGATTGCTTCGCGGTTGGTAACAGAAGGGCGTTGACATTTATAATTTATAATCAAAAAGGCAAAACGCGAAGATGCGTCTGTGACATTAATCCACCAGCAGCAATTTGTTTGGATTTGTTACGATTCATTTCTTATTGACTGAATCAGGAAAGATGTCAATTAATTTAACGAAAAATAAAGACGCTTTGGTGGCTGCTTGGCTGAGCGTAGTCGACGATAAATCGTCTACTAACTGGTAGGCTTCTTCCTTTTGTGTTATATTTTAACGTTCTACCTACGTATCGATTCATTCTGCAAAGTATAAGTAATATTTGATTGCGTTCTTAGAAATTGATTAACTAAATCGAACGAACTGTTTTCATACATGTAAACTTTGTTCGTTTCACTTTTGTCGATCGATATAAATAGCACAAAGTAGATAACTATAGTGGTATTAACAATGTTTAAGTAAACAGTTGATAATGCTATGATTATAAAAGAAAATTGTAAATTCTACTTATGATTCAATAGAAATGTTGTTTTAACATTTATCCGTAAGTTCATGTGTTCTATTGAAATATTATTACTTGTAGGGCTATTTTCGGATATGAAGGCCAAACTAATAACTTGAAAGTTATTAATACTGGCGATGGTGGCTTGCCAGAAATGATTGATCACTTGGACTGCAGTTATATCTTGTATGCATTTTGTCGTGTAATAGATACAAAGACGAATCTACCGAAATGTCTTTTAATAAATTGGGTAAGAACTGAACATTGAATACACTAGTGCTTCTGTTAGCGATACGTATAACGGAAAGAACTATACTTCAGCAAGGGGAAGGAACACCTATCGTTAGGAAAGGCACTTGTGCAAATCATATTAGAGATGTAGAAAAATTGTTAAAAGGTGCTCATATAACAATTACTGCACGTTCTGAAGATGATGTTGAAGTGGATTCTATTATGGAAAAGCTTGCTAGAGCTACAGCTTCAGCATTCAAATTTAATGAACCACGTGGCGAGAATGAAGGTAATACAGCGCCAGTGGGTACCACATATCGCAGGTATATATTTCGGTTATATTATTTATGCACATATACTGGAAGTGAAACCTTCAACTCAAAAGATATACTACAGGGTGATTCCTGAACAAGAAATAAATGCAACTGAACGTGATCAATTCTGGCAGAGGGAAGAAATGGAGGAGAAGAAACGATTAGAGCAAGAACGCATGAAAGGCGAGAAAGAACGGCGGCGACTTGAGGAAGAAATTAGGACTAGGGAAGAGAAAGAAGCAATGCTCAGAGAACAAAAAGTATGTCAGGATTTTTACTTGTGATTAGCGATTTGGTTCTACTTACACATCAATGGTGTTTACAGGTCACTGCCAAAGAAAATTCGATAGCCCGACAGAAACTGGCAGAGCAACGCGCTGAAGAGGCGAACAATTTTCGAAATCAGCTGGCTGCGAGTCAACACTACAGCAACGATGCCGACGATGATCACAAATCGCGAAGCGAAGAATTGCGCCGCGAAAGAAGCAAAGAAACGCAGCAATTAATTGCTCAAAGAACGATAAACGCCAGAGCTGTTTTCGAACAGAATTCGGCAGCTGGTCAAATGAATTCTTCACCCGTGCAACAACAGTATTTAGCAAAAAATAATCATGTGGAGGCAGCTAAGAAAGCTTTCGAGGAAACTCAGCAAAATGAAGCGTCTCATGTCAAAGTGCAAGAAGAATTCAAAACAGATACTAACGAAACTGAGACTGTGAACATCGTTAGTAATGCTGTTAAGAACATATGTTTGAACGAAAACCAAGGACAAGAGTCGAACGCATCAAAGCCGGTGGAAGAACCTGAACAACCATCGGCAACGAAAGAAGCACTCACTGAAAACGAATTGTACAGTCAAATGGATGGACAGTATTTATATTTTGATCCGAATAACGAAGGAATGAGGGCAAGAGCTTTGTACGATTATCAAGCTGCTGATGATACGGAAATTACTTTTGATCCTGGAGACATTATCACGCACATAGATGCCATCGATGAAGGATGGTGGCAAGGTCTCGCTCCTGACGGTACTTACGGACTTTTTCCTGCTAATTATGTTGAAGTTATCGAATACAATACAACATGATAAAAAACATGGTTCTGAAGATAGAAGATCTCTTTTCCCGATTAAAAGGAAATCACCTGCTTTTTCCCATATACAAAGTGACATTCAGTATTCTGATGATTCTGATGACTGCACTTTTGTTTTAATAACGATTTACAGCGTCTAGCGATAATATGTGCTAGAAAGTCCAAGCAAAATAATGCATATTCATCGTAAAAGGTTGATTTCTGTTACGTGTATTAATGCACATTCAGAACTTAATAATGAAGGAATTTAACATTTCTGATAATAATCACGTTAAGAATAAGCATTGTTAATATTTTAACGGGCAAGGTTTTGACATTTAATAGTCTTACGATGCCACTTCATATACAAATGGCGAAGTACATATGTCTTCCCATGTTCAATGTCACAAACTAAATAAATTACCAATAAACAAATATATCTTTTTATAACGTTCTACGTCGAAAATGGATGCGCTCGTAGCAATAGTGTATTTAATAATTTAGCAGATACCCTTGAAAAATATTTACAATGTGTAACAACAACCTATTTAGGAATATGTTTAATTCTTTAAATAATAAATTAAATTTGTTATAGTATATAGTTAATGGTGTTTTCACCCCAAATAATATTGGAATGGTTCATTCTCGCTATACACACAACTTTTATTTTTTATGGATAATTTATTTTGTACAGAGGAATTAGAATTATTTATTAAAAGTCATTATGAAATTAATTATACTAAATTTATTGTTACTGTATGGTATAAAAATTTTTACATGAATGATTTTGCTAAATTGAAATAAAAACAAATGTCAATCTTACATGAGAGAAATGTGCGAAATCACCTACGATAATTTTGATTTTGATTACCACCCCCGCTACCTCCGGCGTGACTTAAAAATGCCAAGTGACCCTTTGGACATTTGTTGGCGTAATGACCTTTGGTTCCACATTTGTAACAAGTGACCTCTTCAAGTGGTTTTTGTGGTCCTCTCGGGGGTGGTCCATTGTGCATGTTCATGTGATGAGTGGCGTGAGAGTTGCCTTCTATCTCTTGTCTGACTTGAGCTTCGCGTACATCTGGTGGCATTTTATTGCAATAAATTGCTTTATGACCGCCTTCGCCACAGAAATGGCAAGTAATCATTACTTTCTTCCCTTCTTTGGGTTGCATATCTTGCACTGCTGGTAATTCAAATCTTGGACTAAAGATATAAAACAATTATTAGTGTGCTTAAACTTTGGATAAGATATACTTGGAAGAGATTTAGATGTTTGAAAACTTACTGCATGTATTTACAATTTGGCCCCTCAGGACAGAATCCAGCTAAATATGCCATGCACAAGACCCTTCTAACATGCCTGTGCCTACACAATGGCCCATGTCTACAAAATCCACGATCGTACCATGGGCAATCTCTGACCTTAGTTTCTGGGTCAATATGCAGGAATGGGCATTCTTTATTGTGACACGCATCTAATAATTCATAACTGATTTTAACATATCTGTACTGGGAAAACTTGATAATGTCATAAAGAAAAATATATTAAAAGAGACATGATATAATTTCTTACAAACTCATATTCTTGAGAGTAAAGACATCATTATATATACTTACTAAATCTCGAGTAAAAATAACATTCTGGCATTTTTGTCATATCATATTCATGTAGAAATTCACATTGGTCACCCTTTTTGCAAAGACCTCTTAACCAATGTTTACATACAATTGTACGATCTCCTCTAACATGCCTAAATGGACAAGAGGCACCTTTGACACATGTGCCTCTTGGGTAAAATTGACATACAGCAGCAGTAGATTCTAAAAGTAAATTTAATCAATGATACAATACAAGTTATTAACTAAATATCTTGAATATTTACACGAGTTGACATCTTATTATTTAAAATGTAAGAAATGCCAATATCACTTATTTCATGTTTTAATTCATTAAATTACTTTGAGATTTCCATAACATAACCCAGTGAAATAGACTATACAAAACCTATCACGTACTGTCCATTCCTGTAAAAGGTAAAGGAAGTGCTCCATATTGCTCATCAAGAGCAATTTCAATATCAAATCTCATATTATCCACATTCGCCACTATGCACTCCATTGTTAAATATTTCAACAAATATAAATTTATCCTTTTGCGGTATACACAACAATCATTATTCAAACATGTACTGAACACGTGCATGTGTCGTAATTCGCAATGTCGCTTTCACGGTATGTCCGATCGGTACCATGCCGAGCCCACAATCCCCACAGTTTCCTCATATTGCAAAAGCCAAGCATTCAAGTCTATCCTTTACTCGGGGTTTCCCAGTTTTTCCGCACGAGGACTCCAAAATCAATTCGGAGTTGGCCGGATTGTCCCGTCCGTCTCTACTGTATATACCCTAGTACACCCTGATATATCCTAAATGTTGTGAAACTGATAACCCCGTAATTAACTTGAAAATAAAGTGATTTTCACAATCTGGTTCGTGTAAATTTGTTAAAAAGAACGAAATAAAAGTGAAGAAATAAAATCGAAGGATGGACGAGTACGAAGAAGGTCAGTTCAGTGATGCTGATGAAACTGAGCCAAAGTACGTACACATGTTCCTTTAATTATATTATTTTTAATACAATCCTAACAATAATTTTTGCAATAATACAGGTACGAAACAAGTAGGGGGAAACCCTTATTTCATCCTGTACTTTCCAAAGGTATAAGTGAATTGTTCATTTCAAATAACAATGAAGTAAAAGAGGATGATATCGACGATGATGATGATGATTTAGGAGATGATTTAATTTGGGATGAACATACAAGTAGAACTGGATCCAACAATATTATCAAAAGCATCAAATCACAAAATGTTAATGCTCAGAATGTTTCCAATAAGATCACAAATTATCAGCCATCAGACAAACTATTTCGTCGGTATGCTAACAAGATTAATATTGAAAAATATGAAGGCCGCTCTTTGCCAGGACATGCAGCAAATCTTCTTCTTGAAAGTGACAAGAGGACAGAGAAAGATAGAGTTAAAACAAAAGATAAGCATGACCGTGCAACTGTGGAACAGGTTTTGGATCCTCGCACACGAATGATATTATTTAAGATGCTGAATCATGGTATAATCGCACAAATTAATGGGTGTATCTCAACTGGAAAGGAGGCTAATGTTTATCATGCAACTTCAAAAACAGGAGTAGCATTTGCAATCAAAATATACAAGACATCAATTTTACAATTTAAAGATCGAGATAAATATGTCACCGGAGAATTTCGTTTTCGTCATGGATATTGTCGGCATAATCCACGTAAAATGGTACGAACATGGGCGGAAAAAGAATTTAGGAATTTAATACGGCTTCAGCAGGGTGGAATAAATGCTCCGAAACCAATTTTCTTACGTAGTCATGTACTGTTGATGGACTTTATAGGCACAGATGGTTGGCCATCGCCAAAGCTAAAGGATGCTGTTTTTAGTTTTTCCGAACCACGAACATTATATAGAGAATGTGTTGAAATAATGTGGAGATTGTATAATAAATGCAAACTCGTTCACGCTGACTTAAGCGAATACAATATGCTTTATCATGATGGGTCTATTGTAATAATAGATGTATCTCAAGCAGTAGAACATGATCATCCAATGGCACTTGAATTTCTTAGAAAAGATTGTAGTAATATCACTGGTAAGTGAAAACATTATTACAACATGTTCCATCACTATTTACTGTTTTATTTCTTCAGAGTTCTTTAAGAGGTACGAAGTTGGAGTGATGACTGTCAAAGCATTATTTGATTTTATAACGGATCCAACAGTGACTGAAGAAAATATGGATAAATATTTAGATGTTATATCAGAACAAATGATACAAATAAACGGTGTTGATCCTACACAACAAATAGAAGAAGAAGTTTTCAAACAAGCTTACATCCCTCAAAATTTAACACAGGTACCATTGACGAAACAATGAATTTAATCTTCCATTTGAATTGGTATGTGCATATTAATTTTCGCAAGTAAACATTTTAACACAAAAATGTTTAGGTCATTGATGTTGAACGTGACATCAAACTTGCTAAGTCCGGAAAGGAAAACTTGATATATAAAACTCTTGTTGGTTTAAAAGCCGATTTGTCAAAACCACTTGACACTCCTGAAATTCTCACGAAACATTCGGAAAAAACAGATGATATTGACGAAGAGAGATCATCCGAAGAATCGGATGATTCTGAGGAAGATGAAGATAGCGTAGAAGAAACTGTAGTCGGGAACGAATCTAAATTCGTTAATTTGGCGAGACCACGGGACGAGAGTCCAGGTACTAAAAAGGTAATATAATTGTCTCTTGTAGCAAGGTATAAAATATAACACATATCGCAATGTATTTAATTACAGGCACGAAAAAAAGCTGTGAAGGAGCACCAAGCTGAAAAAAGAAAAACTAAAATAAAAAAACATGTGAAGAAAAAAAAAGTAAAA